AGGAAGTAACTGTTATTATCTGTTTAGCCGATCTCCAAGAGATTGCGGTTCCACCACAAGTAAATAAATAGCCAGTTTGAGATTTTGCTTTGTGTGGATCAGACAAATAATCAGCATCAGCATAACCAGTTAATTCATTTCGAGATTCACTCGAATAAAATAAACCAAGGTCATGAGTCCCTTGAAGATAACGAAAAATGTGTTTGATACCATTCCAATGGCGCTTTGTGGGGGATGCGCTAAACCTGGCCAGTAGATTTACTGAAAAAGATATATCTGGCATGGTACAATTTGCAAGGTACATTAATGCACCAATAGCGCTGAGATATGGTACCTCGGGGCTAAGTATTTCTTCATTTTTTTCTCTTGGCCTAAATGGATCTTTACTGGGATCAAGAGATCTGACCACCATTGGTGTACTCAGAGAGTGAGATTTATCAATGTAAAATTGTTTTAATACCTTTTGGGTATATGTTGATTGATGGATAAATATTCCGTTGTTCACATAATCCACTTGTAATCCCAGACAATATTTTGTCTTTCCAAAATCTTTGATCTCAAATTCTTTCTTTAGATATTCAACTGCAATTTGGATCTCTTCTGAAGTTCCAATTAAATTGAGATCATTAACATATATAGCAATAATGACAAAATTTGATCCACTTTTCTTTATAAAAACGCATGGGCATATTTGATCATTAGTATAACCTTCTTTTATTAAACATTCGTTCAGACGGTTATACCACATTCGCCCCGATTGTTTAAGTCCATACAATGATTTTTTCAATTTGATGGAATATGATTCCCTTGGGTTTAATTTGTATGCTTCAGGCATATTAAATCCCTCAGGAACCTTCATATAGATATCAGTATCCAAGGAGCCATAAAGATATGCAGTAACTACGTCTAAAAGACGCATATCGAGCTTTTCTCGCACTGCTAGGCTCACAAGGTATCTAAATGTTATTCCATCAACAACTGGAGAGTACATTTCATCAAAATCTACTCCAGGCCTTTGTGAGAATCCCTGTGTTACAAGACGGGCTTTATATCTCACAATTTCATTATGTTCATTTCTTTTTCGTACAAACATCCATTTGTATCCAACTGGTTTTATACCATCTGGTGTTTGAACAATTGGTCCAAAGACCTCCCTTTTGTTTAATAAGTCAAGCTCTGATTGAATCGCATGTTCCCATTTTGGCCATTCATTTCTTTGCCGACATTCATAAACCGATTTTGGCTCTGGATCCTCATTTCATTCCATTATATCAAGTGCTAAACTATATGCGAAGGCATTATCAATAACTGCCTCTTTACGGTTTCAACATTTTCTTGAAGTAACATAGTTAATTGAGTTTTCAATAATCTCATCATGTTTTTCAAGATCGTGCTCTTCTTGAGCAACTATTTCAGGATTGACTTCTTCATTAGATTGAGGTTTATCAATATCATTCTTGATATTTTCATGATTATCATCATTAATTCATCTTTTCTTTCGAGGGTGTTTATCTTTGGAACCGAGTGGTCTGTAAACGTGTCGCTGATTCATTAGCACTTGTAATTTGTCCATCAGGGACAATTATTTTAGCCGGAGCATTAGCAGCTTGGATATATGATCGAGCGACTTTGCTCGAGTCATTGAATGCATCCGGTAACTGATTTGCAATATTTTGCAAATGTATAATGCGTTGAACTTCTAGTTCACACTGCTTTGTACGAGGGTCACAAAAATTCAATGGGATTTTCCAATTAATATCCCTTTTCGGTTCGTTTTTGTCTCCCCCTAATGTCGGAAAATATGATTCGTCAAAATGACAATCTGCAAATCTTGCAGTGAATAAATCGCCCATCATAGGTTCAAGATATTTTATAATTGACGGCGATTCATATCCGACATAAATGCTCAATCTACGTTGAGGACCCACTTTTGTACGTTTGGGGGGTGGAATAGGAACATAAACAGCACACCAAAAAATACGTAGATGAGATATATTTGGTTCGTGACCAAATACTAACTGCATCGGAGAATAGCTATGATAGCTTGTCGGCCTCATTCTTATAAGTGTTCCTGCATGTAAGATTGCATGCCCTCAAGCTGAAACGGACAACATAGACCTCATCAGTAATGGTCTAGAAATCAACTGCAATCTTTTAATAAGTGATTCTGCCAGACCATTTTGTGTATGAACATGAGCAACTGGGTGCTCTACATTATTCCAATCGACATGCAATAATCATCAAATGCATTCGATGTATATTCACCAGCATTGTCCAGACGTATAGTCTTAATTGGATTATCGGGGAATTGTGCCCGTAATTTAATAATTTGGGCAAGCAATCTCGCGAATGCCATATTGCGAGTAGATAATAAACAGACATGTGACAATCTGGTAGATGCATCAAGAAGCACCATAAAATATTTAAATGGCCCACATGGTGGGTCTATTGGTCCACATATATCCCCGTGTATTCTTTCCAAAAATGTAGGTGATTCAATACCTACTTTAGCTGGCGATGGTCTGGTTATCAATTTTCCTGGAGGCAACACATGTTAACTCATTTGAGTTTAAAACTTTTTGATCTTTTAATGAATGGTCATGCGAATTCTCAATTATTCGCCTCATCATTATACTGCCAGGATGCCCAAGGCGATCATGCCATATTTGAAAATCGGTAGTCTTTTGATCTACCGTGAGGTGTGTTTCAACAACACCTAATCTGGCATAATATAAGCCAGTAGAGAGTGAGGGTAATCTCTCAATGATGCATTTCCTTTTATCAATGATATTGGTGATCAATAAAAATTCACCATCGGTATCACTCATAGTTTCAATGTGATAACCATTTTTCCGAATGTCATGAAAGCTCAGTAGATTTCTTCGAGCTTTAGTGGCCAACAGTGCATACTGTATCACAATTTTCGTCCCCGCGGGGAGAAATATAATGGCTTCTCCAGAGCCTTCAATTAATTTCGCACTACCACTTATTGTATTGACATTCATTCTTTCTCTTTTCAAATGGGAGAAATATTTTTCGTGTTTTAATATAGTATGTGTCGTTGCACTATCAATGAAACACATATTTACATCATTTTGTTTGGCATCCATTTAACCTTCAAATATAAATAAACACAATATTAATAAAGACGGATATAAGTATTACAAAATACATTACAAAAAGGTAATATGCGATAATTTAAATATTATAAAACATAATGTAAAATGACATAATATGTCTATCACTGGGGGTTTGCTGGATCTACGAAAAAATCCGTTATATCAAGATGCGTTGTGTCGTAATCCAAAAGATCATCATCGGGGTCGTCATCGTTATCAACGTGATTAGTCTCGACCTCATTCCCCTTTTTCTGCAGTGAGGCTTGATAAAGATCGGCTAGGTGTTTGGCTGTTCTGCAGGTATTGGCCCAATGGCCTTCAATGCCACACCGGTTACAAATGCCTATTTTTCTCTTTCCATGTTTAGCCTTTTCGGCTATATCCCCATGTTGGGGTTTACTCTGCATCCTATTAACGTCAAAACTGCGGCGATTGTAAGGGGTATATCGACCTGGTTGACTCTCACGACCGCGACCACGTCCACGGCCTCTACCACGTCCTCGACCTCATTCAGAAAATGTCACATTCGCTTTAGGGAACGGATTGGAACCAGTGGGCGGGGACTGATGATTTTTCATTAATAACTCATTATTTTGCTCAGCTAATAAAAGACATGCAATGAGCTGTGAGTACTTTTGAAATTTTTCTCACGATACTGCTGTTGCAGCACAACATTCGAAACATGAAAGGTAGAGAGAGTCTTCTCCAATTTATCATTCTCAGTAACATTTTCTCCGCAGAGTTTCAACTGAGATGTAATCTAATGGATAGCAGAGTTATACTCTGTAACAGTTTTAAAATCTTGCAACCGCAGGTTAAGCCAATCATGTCGGGCTTTGGGGAGAGTGATATATTTCAAGTGCCCAAATCTCTCCCTCAATTCATTCCACAAATCTAGTGGATCCTTCACCGTCAAATATTCAGACTGTAGAGGAATGTCCAAATGATGACGGATGAAAATAATAGCCTTAGCCCGATCTTGGCTTGTAGCCGCATTTTCACTGGCAATTGTATGAACAAGGCCCATAGAAACCATATGCATTTCTACATCCAGGGACCAAGTCAGAAAATTATTGCCGGTGAGAGAAAGAGGTTTAAAAGAAAATTTTGCAAGATTTTCCATAGTTTAGAAAATAGATAATATAGATAGTATAAAAATAAAACTTACCAAAAATATAATATGCAAGAGCCTTCGTGCTGATAACGTGTTATATAATAAATAATATAAGTAAGTTGGTAAGTTTTGTAATAATAATAATAATATAATAAGTATAATATGTGTATATGTGTCCGGGTGTGTGTGGGTTTATATTGTGTGTGGGTTTATAGATATATATATGTATATGAATATATAGGTATAGAGAAAGAGGATAATTAATGCAAAGAGAGAGAGTGTGTTGAATGAATTGTGTGTTCATTTTATAATAAGGACATACATATATATATATATAGGCGAAGTACATAATCATAAAACATCCATATCCTGTCGACGACGGGGTGGTTGTGTGGTGTATAACTTCCTAGATATATTCAGCTGTCCTTGATTTTGGCACATGACAAAAGGTGGGCTTAACCAATCATGCCAACAGGAATCGATTTTTGAATATGCCAAACGCGGCCTTAATTTCCGACACAGTACCGTGGCGCGTGTGCCAACTGTAGCGGTGCAATTCAACGACCCATCAAATCCCGGTACCCGGCCCGGCCCACATTAGGTTAGCCACTGCCGGATGAATACGTGGCTCGATTTGAACCGGGCCCGCCACCTCTATCCATCCACGTGTCATCCATCCATTGCCTGAGGCGGATACAATACAAAATTGATACTTTTATATGTGTATTGTGCCTGTACACTGCATTGGCGTCGGCCCATGTGAAAAATCTCCCTATAAATACCAAAGAGGACGGCCTCGTTCACGTGTCGCCCCATATCGAACCTTTTCCCTTTCTGCCCACAGATAATCGCTCTCTTTCTCTCTCAGGTCTCCGCGGTTTCGTCTTTGATTCGCGGACAAAAGGAGTTCGCCGTGGCTATGGATTCCACTCGAGCATTTGTCAAGGATGTCAGGCGTGTTGTCATCAAGGTCGCTGCCTTTTAGTTTCTGCCTTTTTTTTTTTCTTTTTTTTTTTTTAATTTAATTTTCATTTCTGGCTGTGTCTTGTTTTTGGTTTCGTGGCGTTGATTTATGTCGTTGGAGTGTATGCGTGTGGTCTCGGTTTGATTTTCCGATTTTGAGTCCGCATTTTCGTATGTTAGCCGAGCAGTGTTGGAGAATCATAGAATGATAGTACGACCGTTCGTCGTTACTTACGTATATTGAGTGCGTGGATGCGTGTGTACTGTGTAGTATGTTCTCTTTTCCGCATCCGCTTAATCTACGCTTTGTAAAGCATTTATACGAGAAGATGTAGTTCTCTATGTATTTTTTTTTTTTTTTTTTTTTTTATGGTCCGGTGAAAATCTAGTTATGCTTTATGCTTGTAATCGAAACTGTTCGAATGTTGAACTTAGCTGATTTACGATTATGGTTCTACTCGTTCTAGTAGCAAAGAGAGACCTCGCTTCGAGACTGGATCTTACATAACTAACCAGTGACATGATTATAGTAGTCTCTCGAGTCCCACCTTTACACAATCAATCGAGTTCTTTTTTTTTTTTTTTGAAGGGATCGAGGGATGGTGTTATTGAGAAGAGAAACTGATTTGGAGAATTGGAAGTTGTAATACTGATAAAACTTCAAACAAATATCTGTCACTTATGTCATACACAAGACTCTCCAACTTCAAGATATATGCCTCTTTAAAATTTAATTAAAAGCTCTCGTATATATAAGACCATCCAACCCTTATTTGGATGTTCATGACAGTTGATTATTAATGTGAAAGCACTTCAGCACTTGTGGTGAAAGCTCAATGGTGAATAGATTGATTTTCTGCTTGGTGCTGTAGTGTAGGACCCGACAAGGAATTCACGGATACTGGAATAAATTCAGTGGTCCTGATTTCAAACAATTTCCCCGAAATTTGGATTTCTCTTTTTTTTTATTTGTCTTTTTTTGAGATTTTTTATACCATTGCTACAATGTCAATTTTCACGGACTCACGGGGGCCTATTCCTTTGAAATCCTTGTACTTATGTTTGCGATATTTCATCTCTGTTTATTCAGGTTGGTACTGCTGTTGTCACTCGAGCTGATGGGAGATTAGCAGTTGGAAGGATTGGAACGCTATGTGAGCAGGTTATTGGACCTTTATGATTTCTTTTTTTTTTTTTTTTTTTTTTTTGCATAAGTGGATAATGCATCCATGAACATCTTTAACCGTGTACACTGATTATGTTACCTGAATTGCAGATTCAAGAACTGAATTCAAGGGGTTTTGAGGTTGTTTTGGTGACATCAGGGGCAGTTGGTGTCGGTCGGCAACGGCTTAGATACAGGAAACTCATCAACAGCAGGTTTTTAGAAATCTCTGCACACTTTACATGGAAGAAGAGTGATGATATACCAAATAAGATACATGCCAGGAGTCTTGTTTTATAATGTCTGCTGTATCTTGTAGCCAAGTTTTAGTTTCTCACTATTACAACCTCGGACATCCCTCGAGAGACGTTACTATCAAATTGATGTCAGCGTTCAGTGAATAATGGGCTCTGACTTTTTGCAGTTTTTCTGACCTTCAAAAACCCCAGAATGAACTTGATGGGAAAGCTTGTGCCGCTGTTGGGCAAAATGGTCTCATGGCTTTGTATGATACCCTGTTCAGCCAGGTGCACAATTTTAACTTGATTATGATCTCCGCGGAAGATACATTTCTTCGAAATATATACCTGCTCTTGCTTTGTTCTTGTTTAGAAAAATATATTCCATTATTTTATTCTGTTGCACATGTAAAATCTCAATAACTTGTCTGTTCACTTGACAGCTGGATGTGACTTCTGCACAACTTCTAGTTACTGACAATGATTTCAAAGAACCAGCTTTTAGGAGGCAACTCACGGAGACTGTGAACTCTTTGTTGTCTCTGAAAGTCGTTCCTATGTTTAATGAGAATGATGCAATGAGTACCAGAAAAGCCCCTTATGAGGTGAGTTTACTCACTTATTCACTCTAGAAGAATTACAAATGGGCCCGGTAAATGTTCTATGTTCAACACCTCTTCTCCACTTGCACACAAATCCTCCTACATGGTCATTACAATTTATTGTGGTTAGCTTGCAAATGATTTTTGTGTGACATTTTCCTTGTTCTTTATATCAAGGTGAAACATATGGCAAGCTGATTTCCTTCATATTCATTGACTTTTATCTATTGAGTGCCTGTTTGTGTGTGTCGGGCGTAGGATTCTTGTTTCATTTCATTAGGCTTGTGAACTTTCCTTTACTTATCTCAATCATATAATGACCAAAATGCAGTTTTTGCTAATTTCTCAAAATGGCATCTGTAGGACTCGTCTGGAATATTCTGGGATAATGACAGCTTAGCTGGTCTACTGGCGCTGGAGCTAAAAGCTGATGTTCTCATCTTGTTGAGTGATGTAGATGGCCTTTATAGTGGTCCACCAAGTGATCCACAATCCGAACTAATTCATACTTACATTAAAGAAAAATATGAAGGGGCGATAACTTTTGGAGACAAGTCGAGGGTGGGAAGGGGTGGCATGACTGCTAAAGTAAAATCTGCAGTTTATGCTGCTGATGCTGGTGTCCCTGTTATCATAACCAGGTAAATCAGCTCGATATTAAACTTTATTTTTCCAACTTGTGTGTCATATTAATATGTATAAAAATCATACACAAGACTGCTTGCCGCCTGTAAACGTTTCTTTCAGGACAATAATATGTTTTCATTTTGTGTATAGTGCATGACATTAAAATCAAAGGAAATAGATTAATGTTGTAGTAAAATCCTTAGAAGTGCTAAGGATTGAGTATTGTAGGTTCTACCAATTAAGCACCCCAGAAGTTAAAATCCTTTAACGGTAACAATACACAAGCATGACAAGAACACTATGATAAAGGATCATCTTGAAAAGGTTGCCCATTTGGATCAGTTAAATATTTGATGTAGCATTTTGTTGATTATCAAGAATATCTCTAATTAAAGCTTGCAGACATAGACTGTTGATAATCTGTACAAAGTTTTTTATGCTTGAATTGAATCCTTCCTGGTATAATCTATAGTCACGCACCATGAAGAAAGACAATGCATTTCCTTTCCATAACTAAGTCTAGTGTTGAAGATTGTCTGGTTTTGCTGTTAGCCTCGACTGATGTTTTAGGAATGGTATTTCAACTATACATTTATAAACCCCACAACAAAAACAAGTGAATTTTTAAAGATAAGACATAATTTTTGTTCTTGATTTTATCTATTGTATGAATTATTTCTTTTGCTTCTCACATCTTTACCTCACTTTATCCACCCATCTGCCCATTTGCGGTTGAAGTGGTTTTGCAGTTGACAATATCATACAAGTTCTAAATGGTAAGGTAATTGGCACTCTATTTCACCAAGATGCTAGTAGTTGGGTCTCGAAAATGGATGATGCACGTGAAATGGCAATAGCAGCTAGGGAAAGTTCAAGGCGGCTACAGGTATTAAATGGGAGGTTTTTTTTTTGGCTTGTCTAGGAAAAACACCAGAAATGCAATTATAGGCATGCTAATGTTTTGCTTTGCAGGCTATGTCTTCACGAGAAAGGAGTAAAATCTTGCTCGATCTAGCTGATGCTTTGGAAGCACATGAGAAGCTGATAGTTGCTGAAAATGAAGCTGATGTTGAGGATGCGCAGCAAGCTGGATACGATAAATCTTTGGTATCTAGACTGGCCTTGAAATCTGGTAAGGTAAGATGCTGATGCCAAAACATGTGTGCTCTTCTAAGATAAATAGTGCTACGGAATGTTGCTATGATGCTTTTCCACAGATTGATACAATATTTCATTTCTTTTAATAGATTTCAAGTCTTTCAAATTCTATCCGAGTTCTTGCAAACATGGAGGAGCCGGTTGGTCGAGTTTTGAAGAGAACAGAGGTAAGAGAAGATACCACTAGGCTCTCTGTGTGGTAAAATCTCATGATTATGTGAATAAGTAGCTAATGTTTGGGAATAAAAAGAGGCAGAAAGATCAAAGTTTTAGTTTCCAAATACTGATTATTTTTACACTTCAAACCCTTTCCTAAGATTAAGGAGAGCAAGTGCCCTGATTTTACTTACCCAGGCTGCATAATTGTCATACTTGGAAATCTTATAATAATGTTACTGCAGCTTTCCGAAGGACTTGTGTTGGAGAAGACATCGTCTCCCTTAGGTGTCCTCTTGGTCATATTTGAATCTCGGCCTGATGCGCTAGTTCAGGTAAATCATATGTGTCAGGCTTTGATTTGGAGGGCTGTTGCCCCTTCGATTAAATGTATCCTTTTTCTTTATCTTTCGACAAAGTCGTACCTTCTTAACTTATATCAGATAATAGCATGCATTCATGCTAATGCTAATGCAAAACTAATTAATAGATTTTGAGTTTTTTTTATTTCATGTCTTTCATTGATAAACAGATAGCTTCATTAGCAATACGGAGTGGAAATGGGCTGCTGTTAAAAGGGGGGAAGGAAGCGAGACGATCAAATGCAATCCTGCACAAGGTTTAACATAGTGATCAATTTTTTAAAAGACTAACCAAACTTGTTTTTAGTTGACCCTTTTTCTTGTATTAGGTTATTACTTCTGCCATTCCGAAAAGCGTTGGACCTCGGCTAATTGGGCTGGTGACTTCCAGGGATGAAATCCCTGAATTGCTCAAGGTAAGCTTGAAATACTCCTGCATTTGCCCATAAAACCTTGTCTACTTTTAGCCTAAAAACAATGAATTAGTGCTGAATATGTCTCTGTTTCTGGCAAAGTTGGATGATGTAATTGACCTTGTCATTCCAAGAGGCAGCAACAAACTTGTTACTCAAATAAAGACTTCAACAAAGATTCCTGTCCTTGGTCATGCTGGTGGAGCTATTTTCTCACTCTGCTTGACAATGCATATGTATCATGTGACCAATATATATATATATACATACATGAATGTAAAGCACTGTTCTTTCTTTCCAGATGGTATCTGTCATGTTTATGTAGACAAGTCCGCGAGTAGGGATATGACGAAGCAGATTGTTTTGGATGCGAAAACAGACTATCCCGCTGCCTGCAATGCCATGGTTAGTTCAATTCAGCGAACATATATATATATATTTGCGATACATGTATATATAATTTACTGTCTAATACAAATTTGCCTCTCTGTAAGGAAACACTGCTTGTTCACAAGGATTTGGTTCAGGATGGCTGCCTAAACGAACTTATCTCGGAGCTTCAATCCCGAGGTTAGATTTTAGAATTCAAGAGCTATTGTTATTTCCAACTCTCCTCTATTATTCTCTGGTTCTCTCTCTCTCAAACTTGTGTACAAGGATTTTGGGAGACAATGTAGTTGTTATTGGTGTGAGTAAAAATCAGATGAGAAAGCAAGGCAGTGGTTGGTTTGGTTTGGTGGAGAAAAATTGAAGAAAAGTGTTGAAATGGTGTGTGTGCGGATGATGTTTTGTTTCAGGTGTTTCGATATACGGCGGACCTCGAGCTAGCTCTTCGCTAAAACTTCCGGAGGCGAATTCATTGCACCATGAATATGGTTCTCTTGCTTGCACTGTTGAGATTGTGGATGGCATAAATGATGCCATCGATCATATACACCAGCATGGAAGGCATGGACTCCAGAATTAAATTAAATTCTACTATAATAAAAATAAATATAAGATGCTCTTCTTTGTCTCACGCTCCTGCATATCTTGTATAGCTCTTCCTGTTCGTACCGTACGCGATGCGATAATACAACACATGTAGTAACTAACATTCATTGTCTTCTTCCCTTTTCTATGGCAGCGGACATACTGACTGTATTATAACGGAAGATCAGGAAGCTGCGGAAGTCTTTTTACGCAACGTCGACAGGTATGCTATGCTAATAATGCTGCTGCTGTTTGTAGCATTACAACTTGGTTTTTAAAACAAGTTAACTAACAACAAATCATGAATGGTGATTTCCAGTGCTGCTGTATTTCACAATGCCAGTACAAGGTTCAGCGATGGTTTCCGCTTTGGACTAGGCGCAGAGGTATTAATTCTTCATCGAATTTTCGTGTAAACTGGTTTTTGATCCAGTGCTGCAAGTGAGACCCCAACTTGTTCACTTCATCAACAGGTTGGCATAAGCACAAGTCGCATCCACGCCCGTGGCCCTGTAGGTGTCGAAGGACTTCTTACAACCCGTTGGTTCGTAACGTAACATCTCTAATCCCATCTTCCTACGATCTATTCTTCATCTTCTCAACCAAAACTGATGCAGGATTGCAAGAGGAAGCGGTCATGTGGTGAACGGCGACCAAGGCATCGCGTACACTCACAAGAACTTGAGCCTCGCCGCTTGATGCCCACACCAAGTGGCTTCCTTGCCATTGCCTGGTATGATCTTATTCACTGCGATTTATGCTTTTATACTATTATGGAGCAGTATATATATACTCCATTTCTGCCCTGTCCAATTCCCATACCTATATTTCGACCGCGAACAAAAAGAATATCCATTGTCGACGACAATAGGGCTGCCATTTAATCGTACTTTCCTATTGCCTAATATCATTATCAGATACAATATCCTTATCCTCTGTACTGTAACCCTGTGTTTAAAATAGCTTTATTGCTGTGTTAGTATTCGCAGACCAAATGCAGCTTAACACCATTCCTACCAAGTAGAAATATCGGAATGTTTGAACCTCAATTTAATTGTAGCAGCTGATGAAACCAAAAATTGTACTCCGATCCGGAAAAGCCTTCCTAAGACTCGACAAATTTCTCGAGTTTTTTCAACCATGCAATATACTCTCTGCTGTCTTTATCCACCATGTACCCGTGCAAGAAGTTCGTTACGCTCGGCTTGATCCCTCGTATCTCCAGATATTTATGGAAAGCCTTCTGCAAATTCTCGTCCAAATCCCTGCAAGATAAAAAAGAGTTTTTTGTTTAAGTACAGAAGCACAATTTGTTGGATCATCAAGAAAAAGATTGAATAAAACTCACGCAAAGTCGGGTCCTTCGTAAGCTATCTGATCCTCGGAGTTTTTGGGGTCCTTGACCGTTAAGCTGTCGATGGTGATCTCATCAGGGTATGCAGTGCAACTAAATTCCAAATAGGGTCCTCCATTTTTCGAGACTTTTACCACCAGCGGTATGCTCGATTGATTTCCCCTCCCTTCTCCTTCCACGTCATTTCCATCATCATCCTGCTCCTCTCCTGTGACAAGATCGGGCATGAAAACTTCGGCCGTTACGGTTTCGCCTTCAAGTTCTCTGGTCAGCGTTATCGCCTGCTGCCCTGGATTGTCTTCAATTTGGAAAGGGAAACCCTTTGGAACCTCCTCAACCTATCGATCAATTGAAATTAGAAATTTGATCAGTACATGTAGCAGAGCCAATGCATCGAGGAAACAAGATGTTGGAATGAAGATTACACACAAACGCTCTGTTCTTATAACAAATAATTTTCGACATGCTTCATTGTTAATATTAGAAGAAAAAATATATATAATCTATATGCATATATTCACACAAACTATACAATATATATTCTCTATCAACTCAAAAAACAAAAATCAATAATTTAATACAAATGATTAATTTTCTTATTTTATCATTTTCTCATAACTAATATATAAACACCTCGGATTAGAAACAGAAAACAGACCCGTCCAAAATTAAGGAGTGCCAAAAGCTTTTAGCAAACACTAAAAGCAGCATACAAGGTGTTTGTGGATTCCAAATTCCAAGTAGACTGAATGTAATCAAAGGTGATAATCTTAACTCTTAAGCATCGTAAATACGCACATTTGGATTCATGTGGTTTAAATAACTTTTGCACAGAGCTCAGCATATTGATTCAAGTGAATTGTATGAGAAATCACAGGTAACTAACTATTTTATTGGAGGTCTCCATAAGTTTTGTTTAGATTATGCGACAGCAATATTGGATTAGGAAATTCCACTCAGAATTCCTATATTGGGACTGAAGATTCAAAATCAATGTAAATCATTTATGTACAAACCATTGAAACTTGATAGAAATTTCTAGATATCGCAAAAAGCCTTTATTAGAAAAAAATCTAGGTGTTCATCAAAGTACGAAGCAGAGATTACGACGAGTAACCGAGCGAAACTATCCATAATTTGAAAAACAAAAATCGAATCAAACCTCTTCTCCGTCCTGAGAATCTTCAGCGAACTTTATCTCGGACTCGATCACTCTGAGTAGTGCGCCGTCGGAGCTCGGCTTTGATGAATAGTGATGGATAAACGAAGGAAATGACCTCGTGAAGGTATTTGGTGAGCTGTGATTGACGGCGGTTAGAATCGGCGAGCTCTGGTGAAGATGCGTGCATCTGTGACTTCCTCCGGTGGAAATCCGGAGAATCAGAGGTGCAATACGCGAAGCAGATCTGCGAACCACGCTAGTCAGAGCCATGGAAAGAGAAGGACGGTTGGAGGTTGTGTCGTGAAAAATGCAATCAGGAATGAACTGCGGAGGCAGGGCAGAAGGGTTTAGGGTTTTGCAGATTCCTTGGAAGGATAAAATTGTCTTTTTGCCTCCACGGGGAACCGCTTATGTGTTGGGCCGGGCATTCGGGTCGGATTGGTCAACTTGGCTAGGCAAGTGGGTAGGTTTTATATTTATTGGGCCACACTGTTTCGGTCTCTCGTGGGTTAGGATAAGTTATATTGGGCCAATTTGGGTGGACTTATTTTGGATTGGGCCTTGTCTGTGGGATGGACATTATTTATTACTGGGTTGAATAGTGGGCCAGATTAATTTGGGTAAATCGGTTTTTATTATTGGGCCGGATTGCATTTATTACTGGGCCGAGCTATAATGGTCTGGGCTCCTTATGCGCTTGTCCGGCTCAGGGCAGGTATTGAGCTATTATATTCCGAGTACGGGTTCTCTTAATAATAAGAAATAAATAACAAAATACATAAATTCTTATTACATCATTCATTTGCCAGTATTTATTTTTAAAAAAATATCACATCAAATACAATATTTCTCACACAAAACATCAAATCAAATACTAATTTTTACTTTTTCCAAATTTTCAAAAACCTTCAAAAAAATCTCTATCTAAACAAACCCATAATTAGGGGTGAAATAATTACACAATAAAAAAATTCATTTGTCACACCTTACCGGACATATATTGAATTTCAAAAAAAACAAATCTAACAACAACAAAAAACTCCTCACTACAAATAAGCTTTTTATTCCCATATACATTTTAACAAATCAAATCACTCAATTTTCACACACACACACACACACACACACTATATAACCTTAACCACACATACAACAACACACAACGATAAAAGTATTTTACAGTTAAGAGTAGAAATCAAAAACCCAAAAAAAAAATAAAATAAAAATAAAAATAAATCAAAGGATACCAAAAAACAACACAAAACATAGAACCAAAAAGAAAAAAAGGAAAAAAAAAAAAACCAAATATAAGAACAACCAAAAAGAAATCTTACATGACAATCTCCGGGTTCAAGATGCTGTTCTTGATCTCCTTGTGAGGCAGCACCACCCCGCCGTTGCTGTAAACCTCGTCGCCGACGTGCACGTCTTCCCCGAGTATCGTCATATTCTCGACCCGAGCCCACTGCCCGACAGTCGAGTGCCACCCGATAATGCTGCTCGAAATGCAAGCGTGTTTCTTGATCCGTACACCTCGCATCACCGTGCAGTGCGACAGCCTCACGCCGGATTCGATCACACACCCGGGGCCAATTGCAACGTCCGGCCCGATCAAGCACCCGTCCCCGATTTTCGCGCTCTCGTCGACCAAGACATTCCCGATTACATTCGCCCCCGACGCGAGTTTCGGAGACAACTGCTTTCTTAAGGAGTCAAGGTAGAGCCTCAGCCCCGAGATGTAGTCCCTTGGCTGCCCGATGTCCATCCAAAACCCGGGCAGCACCATTGCGTACAGTTTCTTCTCCGCCGCGATTTTCGGGAACACCTCCTTCTCGATCGAGGTGGGGCGGAGCTCGATAAGGTCGAGAACCGATGGGTTTAGCAAATATATTCCCGCATTGATCTTGTTGCCGACGAATAACTTCGGCTTCTCGACAAACCTCTCGACCTGCCCGCTCGATTCATCCATAACCACGACACCGTACTTCGAAGGCTCGTCGACCTACAATATCAAATATGAAAAATAAATTTCTTTTCTCATATACAGCAAAAATACGATAAATCTTTAATCCGAAATCCGAGATACGATTTACGTTGTTCGGAATAAATCCCGGCAGGAAATAAAAGAAACTCTTCTCGCCCTTACCTTGGTTACCATTATAGAAGCCTCGCCTCCGTGAGATTTGTGAAATTGAATCATTTCTTTCAGCGGGTATTCGCTTATAACGTCACTGTTAAGAACAAAAAATGGGTCGCCAGATTTGTCTACTAGTTTGTCCCGAGCTAGAGCAAGGGGACCTGCAGTTCCGAGAGGCTCAGTTTCTTGTGAACAAGTAATCTTTATTCCGAGCTTCGCCTCAAAGTCTTTCAAAAAGTTCAGCATTACCTATAACGAACTGGTATCGGTTATAATCCACAGAATAACCCAAAGTCTCAAAATTGTGAGCAATATCGGCAGTTTACCTCCGGCTGATAATTGATGGCAAGGACGACTTCAGTCACTCCAATGGCTTTAAGCGCTTCTATCTGATTTAAAATCAGAATTGTGTTTAACATTAATATGGTATGCTCGGGAAAGAAGGAGAAACAATTCGAAAAAACAAGAACTGAAATTTAAGTTTATGGTGCAGGGTTGATACTTTTTTAAAAGTTTAAAACATAACTTTAACCTGAAGTTGGAGATGATTAGAGACAATTTGAAAATTAGATCCTCGACAGAATTAAGCCGCGAAAGCGTCGGATTAATATGGGTAGTAAAAAAACAAGCCACTAATAGAAACTTTTGCAGAATTGTCCGTATAATGAAATTTTAAGCAAGGAAAAGTTTCAGATCCATGCCTAAAATTGATCAATGATTAGAGCACACAAAGAGGATAATCCAACCATAGCGAGCACAGTTAAAAAATGATACCATTCAAAAATCGAAGAACAAGCACTAAATATTATACCTGATGCAAAATCATGGGCTTGTTTGCAAAATCAACGAGTGGTTTCGGCACGCTTAATGTCAGTGGCCTCAACCTAGTACCAAATCCTCCAACAAGAATTAGCGCCTTCATCTTCTCCCGAAACTCTTTCCTTCTATCTAGGCAATCTGAAAAGAGAAAGAACTATAGAATCAAATCTTTTGGCTATCTATTTATTCTTGAAAAAGGAAAATACATGAAGATAAAGAAATTCTCTAGATTGACATATGTAATGTAATCATGCTTGAAGAGGCACTCTCATCAGGGTTGTTGGATCTCCTTACCTTTTTTTGCTAAGATCGACACGAGTACAACATGCAGAGGTGAGCAAGATATACATCGCTATAGCTTGAGTAAGAAAGGGAAAGAGCATTTAAAGCCGTAGTTGAGGGTAGCCGATATCTTTAGATGCGTCATCCAATAAATAAAGTCGCTAAATAGTCCGGGGAATCGGTCCAAAAGGTTTAGATAAAATAGAAAGTTTTCCAGCTTCGGACAGGCTGGAATATTGTATTAGATTGAAAATGTGACGGCATTTGTAAATAATGCAGTTGCTGAATTTTGCATTTGTAGAACTTTTGAGTTACTTTTTCTTCAACTGATATTCTATTAGGATCAGAAAACAATGCTGGGACTATAGTAGATTAAATGATAAAACCAACATTATCAGAAATCTAATGCTTTTAACTTAATCACAAATCAATGTCACAGAGATGATCCTCAGATGTTCATCCAAGCCAACATTTAACCAATCTTGGCATTGGTCGGTTTTCCAGGCATGGAAATACAAATTTCGATTGTGTTCTCATTCTCATTCTCATTATCACACAATACAATCTACACATAAATACATATGTATCTATATATATATATGTATATATATTATGTCCAAAAGCATAGTTTCAAACAATTATCTTCCATTAAAAATATTTTAATCCAAAAACATCTCAAAAACACACAAAAATAATATAAAGTACAAAGTATACACGCCGGTTATTGCTGATGACTTGAATAGAAATGGCCAAGCATAGAACCACAACAGGAACAAATAAACAGGATGCAAGCTAGAATGGACAATGGAAAATGACCCTTTGAACATCAATTACCAAACAGGATCAACATCCTGTCTTTGATTTGCAGAACAGGACTGCCAAAACTATATCAGAAGCTCTATTTTAAACACTAATTTGAAGCTTCCATTGTTAATCCAAATTTGATAATCCAATTACGCCGTAATTCATGAGAAGAAATGTGAAAATCTGAAAGAACTTCTAACAATCTATGCAATGCGACGCAGAATTGAACTCAGCAAGATGATTATTGCGCTTTAACCATTCAGTCACATAATTAACCAACAAAATTCCCAATCCTCCAAGTCTAAGCAAGGAATAATCCATACAACAACAGAGAAGCAGATAAATCTCGATTGCGGAGACCATTAAGGAACAACCACATCCACATTACGAGATTACAATACATTGTTCCCGCAGATCAACGGTAAACGAGAATTGCAACAGAAACAAATGAATTAAACTCGGGAAATGAGGGAGAAATCAAACCTCGTTCACACCAGATCCAGAATCCGCAGGCTGAGCCAAAAAATTGTTTCCGCAATTAATCTCCCTCCGCGCACAACAAACTCCAACGGTTGGTGGCGTAGTCACTCGTCAAAGTTCCTCCCTCTCTCTCTCCCTCTCTCTCTCTCTCTCTCTCTCTCTCTCTCTCTCCGTATATGCGCCGTGTCGGTGGAGGGCGACTGTGTTGACGGAACAACGAAGCTTTCGTAGGGATGGATATATTTATTACGTACAGCTGTATATATCTATCTGTGCATCAATATCTATACATTTTATTTATTTCATTTTCAAATATACTACGCCATGTATTATTTTAATCTTTTTTCAATTAATTTGCAATGTTTTCAATTTTTCATGTTATTATTTCTGTTCAATATAAATTATTTATTTTTTATTTTCGTTTTTTTCATATTATTTATTTTTAAATATTGTTAAAATTGATGCTTTGGGTCATACACTTTTTGGCCAGGCCGTTGTGAGAATATATACATGTTAACCCCTTAAGACAAACATTGATTACTCATTCATTATCATTGTCTGTGCACTGATGTGATTTTTTTAATAATAGAAATTAGAGTGCAGGTGTTCTTTACTCTTGCTAACAATTTGTGTATTAAATTATTTTTTAGTTATTAACAAATATTTTAAATTTTATAATTTATAATTTTTTAATTTTAATTAAATTTTAGTTATTTACTCCCATATCTACAATAATATAAAAAAATTAATGAAACGAAGAGAGTATTATTCGGAAGACTTGAATATAATTCATTCGGATCAAAATCTATTATCTAGCTCCTAATTTACAATTTTTTTTTTCTCAATGATTTTATACTTTGAAAACTTTTTTTTTTACTCTCAATTATAGTTAAAAAAAAAAAAAAAAAAAAACTGGAAAAAATACTAAAATAATCTAAAAAAAAATAATTACTATTTTATTCTCAAAACTAAAATTAAACAAACCGAACTTAAAAAATATGTACACTCACACACGGATATATGCATCTTGAATCATCATTTATTTTGCTAAAACTTTGTAAGAGAAGTCTCCATTTTTTACTCTATTTGATATTTTTTCTACACTAAAATTTATAGATTATTGGCTAGATTTATGTTTCAATATTTTTTATTATTTCGTTGCTCCAACCTGAATTGTTGTGTTCTGCTATATTTCAGCGTGAATCATCCTTGATTTTTTAAATTTTTTTAAAATAAATTTGTTATATGATGATATTTTGAATAATTTTCATTATAACTAAAGCAATAGTGAGAGAAGAAAATAAGCTGCTTGAAAATATTGGAAAAATCAATCTGATCACATTAGAATCGGACATATAATTTATTTATCAAAAGAAAAAAATAAAAAATTGTGTATATTGTATAATATTTTTTTTAAAAAATTAGAAACATAATGCTAACCCTGGATTTGCCATGTAGCTTTAAAAAAAAAAAAGGTGTTGAAATAGAATGGCACTGTAATAATCAACAATCAGTACACACAGAAACTTGCTATACGCAGTTTAACCCCAAACCAACACACAGAGCAATGACCAACAACATCAAGAATGTACACTGCTAAAAATGGCCCCTCAATGCCTAAACTTTTACTTAGAGACCCAAACACTCACACAACCTTTCATATGATCTGATCACTAAAGAATAATAATAATAACTGCACCCATCTGTGCGTATGTATTTCTATATGAATATGAAGATGAGGATGAGGATGATGATGATGATGATGAGCTGAGTAGAGGGCCTCAATAAATAGTAGTCACTGCTAACCTAACAAAATTGTGTCCCGGCAACAAGAACATCGATGATAGGTTGTGTTCATTACTTCAATTCAACTCGGTGATTCCGCCAGCAGCAGCGTGTGCCACCACCCGCACGCCACGTTTTTTGCTGTGTATCCCTCCATCGTCACCTGAGAGGGGATGTTCCGGTCGATCACATCGCCCAACCCCAGCTGGTTCATCCGGGAAAAAGACGAGTTAGAAAAGAATCAGCCATTTACGAGTAAATTTTTAGTCGAGGCCGGATTGTTTTTATTAATTTAAGGTGCTCGGAGTGTACCTGCCCGTATTTGTTCCATCCCCAGCAGAATGTTTTTCCGTCCTCTTCAAGAAAATACAAGAGTAGAAGCATTAAGTTCGTGCAAAAAAACCCTTTGTTATGATCTATATTATACAGAATGAATATCTCATCTACATTATTCAAGAAATCTGTTAGCATGCCTCAATGGACAGGTAATATTTTACTTTCTACGATTTGGCAGAATTGCAAATGCAGCAAAGATAATGAAGCTTGAAAACAACCAAAATTTGGCACACAATTTCTGTTTAACACAAAGTTGGCTGCACCTGTGACAACTGCACTGTGTCGAGCTCCACACGATACAATTTTGGCATGTGTGTTTTCCAAACTGGGAGCTTCTAGAAGTCGAGGTAGAGTCTGTATCAAATAAGTTTTCAGTCACAATTTTACTCAAAATTTCTGTATCAAATTCTAACCTTCCATAGTAAGGCAAGTTTAAGCAGAATATATGGTTAAGCACAGAACAAATTACAGCCACAAAACACGAGTCTTTTTCATCACATGTGGTCGTGCACCAAATGGTTCGGTTATGATAGTTGAGAAGATCCGATAAGTTATACAAATTTTGATTGACCACATATAAGTTTGGCACATACCTCAGCTTGATCAGCGCCAGTCCCTAACTGGCCAAACTGGTTGCCCCCAAATGCGTAAACATCACCATCTGCCGAAATACAGATGGTGTGCCAAAGCCCGGCTGCGATGCCATCTATCCTGATGCCAAGTAAGGAAGATACACAAGTAGGACTTAGCTCGTCGTCTGTACTTCCTTGACCACACTACATCAAATAGTAGAAACAAAACATTTTATCACATACAAGTGCCGATGTAGTCGATTACATTAACAAATATAACGACAGGATATATTAAAACCCGCACAAGAATATGAGTGGAGAAAAACCTTGCTTCAATAAAAGAACTTCATACATGCAAGTCTCATCAACATACAGACTCATACATATATCTGACATGACATATGAAGTAGTTTATACTATTTGACACTAAATTTGTGGTGAAGGGCAATTTACAGGTAAACTTTAACTATCATAATAATGCCACGAATTTAAGAGGCTGCTGGTTAAGTTGGTACAACTAACAATCCCAAACCTTATGTCAATTTATTCTTGAACTTATTTTGAATTGATAAAGTTAGGCCTTCACGCCATTTGATCTTATTCTTTATGATGAAAGATTGTGTTCCCAAGGAACTTACAATCGAGCATTTAAGTAGATTTTAATTTCATATATTTCTTAAGCTAGACATTGTGAAATAAATACTCTTATGATTTGTATGCATAATAATACACACTAAAATCAAGAAATCAGAAAATTAGCTCTAATAAAATTGTTTGATACTATTCTTTAGGTCGATTCTAATTTCAAATTTTCTTAAGCAAGGCATCATAAAAATACTCATTGAACCTTCAGATGTAATGTGCGTGTGTGTACACTAAAATCAAGAAGCCAGGTGATCAGTACCAATAAAATCAAGAGATGCTCACCTGTCCATACAACCCCCAACCAAAGGTGAGTAGGGCACCGGCATCTGATAAAACAAAATTTGAGGCAACAATATCAATACATCAACTGTCTTACATGTGAAAGAAATTCTAAAAAGTGCATATGTATTCGACACAAAATAAATGAAGTTGAATCATAGATCAGTAATCACACTGACTTGTATGCAACATACCTGTAACCACTGCACTATGTCTGCCGCCACATGCAATAGCCTTAACATAACTTCCAGGAACTCTGAAGGCCTGACCCTCTGAAGCCATGTTTCCACGAGAAAGGCCCATAGCGTGATCCTTGTTGAAAAATGATTCAATACAGGGCACAGGATGAGGTGAGGATACCATTCTAATCCGCGATCCCAGACCGAGCTGCCCCTCGCCTCCATATCCCCAACCCCACACCTGTCCTACATCTGTAACTTTGGCAAAAAAAGGAAAAAGAAGCAAGATAGCAGCTCTGCTGCTCGTGAAGTACGAGATTGATATTAAACAAAGAAATACAAATAATTACCTGACAATGCTAATGTGTGTCGACCACCAGCAGCAACGGCGGCAATCCTTATGCCTGGATTGAGTGATACCAAACAAGGGAATGCAGAAAGAGCTTCATCACCGGATGCTGAGCCTTCAGCTGCCTGTTTAGCAGGCGATAGTCGCCTTCTCTTAGAATTTTCATCAGACCCTCTACTATCACTGCCGGACACAGACCCTCCACTTGATCGTGAACCATGGGAACGAGGACTCACTGCAAAAGAGATACTCTTCAATTGTAAGTCAGTGTAACTTGGACAGGAGATTCGGAAATCTGCCAAATCAGAGATCAATTACCTTGTTCATTCAACAACATGCTTTGCTTCTCAAAAGTATCCTTATCTATGCTTAAGCCTGACGAAGGGTCTGTAAAAACCTTTCCAGAAGGAACGCATTCTTTCCACCCCCACGTATAAACTTCCCCACCAGCTGCATTTAACCATGGTAACTCAAGTCAGTTGATAAATGGTAGAGAGATTCAAAATGCAAGAAGAACTATATATGTAGCTCATGCACACGCAATGCTTCATCTGACTCTCAATACAAGTACTTCAGCTTCCCTCCACAAATGGGAGATATCCAAAACTACTGCATTCGTTATCGTCATGGTCATCAACACTAACATCCAATCATTTGAATCACTTAACCAGGAGAGGCCTACTTTGCTTTAATTTATAGAGTGAAGCAGAGCACTGAAGCTAAAGCCTAACATTAATTTATCGAATGGATATCTGAAGAGCACCTGTTACAGCAATGCAGTGTGCCCAACCTGCAGCACCCTTCACTATCATGGCATCTGCAGGAAGTGGAAAAGGCTCTGGCATTTCCTTAATAACATCAGCAAAAAAAGGCAGGTTATAGCACATGAAATTGACAAAGATGCTGAAAATAAGAAACTAGCAACTCTTTCATTACCCCGTGTTTCCCACAAGTCACATAACTTTGACCCAAGTCATCCGTGGATCCCCATGTAATGAGCTTCCCAGAATCTGTCCACAACAATCTAGGAATTAAGAGTACTAATACAAGAAATTCAAAAGTATGGGCACTTGCAATAAATAGAGAATGAACTCAAAATTGAAAACTGCAGTTAAGTATCTATGCTTTCCATCATCAATGTGAGAAATTGTTGTTACAAACCTTTAAAATGAAATTTTAATATATATATATATATATTTTAAAAAGGGTCAGATCCAAGTCTCTTGTCGTTCCAAATTCAAACCTAGTCAACCCACTTCCTCGGACATTCTCAAAATTTCATCGAGAACCAGTCTTTTTGGAATCCAAAAAAAAAAAAAAAACATTGAAAATTGAACCCACGTTATCTTTTAAAAAAAAAAAACATTGAAAATTGAACTTAGATATATCCCAGAACCAACATCCCCCTAATATAAACATAGAATTTTTTTTACTCATCCTGAGAGAAAGACGTGAATCTAGGGCAAAAATTGCAGCTGAAGCAAAGTGAAAGAGCACCAGAGTATACATCTTGCAGAAATGCACACGCATACATGTTTTTCAGGTGAACTACTGGAAATACTAAACTGATTAGCTCGGAACAATTCACTAAATCAGCTGAAAATAGAAGGCCAGCAATTCCAACGCTACCCAAGAGACACATTAATCAATCCATCAGTTGTCACTCGAATCCAATGCCGACTCTCCAACCACGCAAGTTAGTCAAAGGGGAAAAAAATTACCGGAAATTGCCATGGCGAAACCGCAGCCGCCGCCGCAAACATCCTTCCAAGGATTTCCTCCGTTGGGTGGTCGCACCACCACGGGCGACAAAATAGGCGTCCTCTGCGGCAACGCCCCCGGTAAATACCCCCACATGAACACCAATTTCTCCACCATTTTCACACCTTCTTGACCTCCTTCCCCATCGACATTCATTCCGATTAATTTTTCGACAAACAATTTCCGCTCCTCACACAAATCAACCAAAATCTCGAACCAGATAACACCTCAAATTGTAGAGCAAAAAATTCCAAGAGCAGCAGCGCGATAGTTCGTTCTATGGCTTTCCTTTGGAGCAGTGACGGAAAGTGCCCTAAAGCCATAAAAAGGGGCGTATCAAATTTCGGGCGAGCACAGGCGCCACATCGGATCCTACCCTGGCCCACAGTCCACGTGTCAAATTATGAGCCGCTAGATACCTCAACGATTCTCCGCCAGAAGTTACAAGAAGTTTCTGGAAGGCCCGTAAGAATTTCCCGCCTCCCAAACACAACCACGCCCGATGCGTCTCCGCTGAGATCACGCCACGTGTCCACACACTTCCCATCGACTCAATCATTTTCCCATCCACGTGTCACACGCATGTTGGCGATATTTCTTCCTTCCCATGTGCTGACGTAATAGGCACGGACTTAATTGACCCTGTCTCAGAACACGTGTCGCTCGCGAGAGCCCCTTCTTTTCAGACATTCAGGTGCTTACTATTCTGAAAAACCCTCCCAAGCTCCTGGGATTCCAACACCCAAAATAAATCCCCACCACACATACGCACAACCTGCGGCGTGGATTCATCTGGCGCTGCAATTCCCGGATCCCCCAAGAACCACCCCTTACCCACAAGTTCAAAAGTGGGTGTCCCAAGTCAGTCAAAAATGACGAATTTTATGACAAAACAAGAAGAAGAAATTTTGCTCACTTAAAAAACCCTCTAGAAAGGGAAGATCACAAAATTAAACAAACCGATAAAAAAGTGATCCAACATCTTCGTGAATTATAAAAAAGAAGCCCAAAAGGAAAACACATTTGCTTTCTCTTTTCACTACATTACCAACAAATGGTTTCATCTTTGAAAAAAGACAAATGGCATACATGTGAGGACTCATTTGGAACAGGCAAAGCCCACACGACTTAAAAACACATGTGTAACTTTGCTCTATGAATGGTTTTAACTTTGTATTATTGCAAAAGAAAAATTTTAAAAAATGAATGGGTGGAGGGCATTTTGGACATTTCGCTCGGCGGATTTGTCGTTTTGTGAATTATGAAAACATTGCTGTCACGCAAGCTCGAAATGACCGCCAAAATGATTGGATCCTAGGTGGGTCACCCGGCCCACCCGACCCGGATGGAGGTGATGTTGAGGGTAGGCTTGTATTTACCAAATTCGCCCCGCAATGATTGAACCCGTTTCGTAACCACACGTAATTCAAGTGGTTTGCCGGGTACGGATCCGTATAACCACATACATAGAATTGTCGCCATTGTTTCTATTATTGTTAGGTTCATTTTGGTGCGACCTCAACAATAATAAGCCATTTATATTAAAACTAATTTTGATGCAATTTATCAAATTCTATTATTCCCTTACATTTCAATATCATTATATCATACATTTATCTGTATATTAGTTAAAAATGAAACTAATGGACTATAAGTTTGTTGGGTTGAGCACATAGAGCCAAAGTAATAAAAGGATTTGTTACGTTGAAATTTGATTTCAATTTATTACTATGCAATTATGCCATGTTTTTTAAATATATAATCCAAATGGGATGATTACGGTGTTTGATATGAACAAATCAGCACATGCTGATTTTTCACATTAACACGCGTTATATGTATAAACAGCACACATTAATATTACATACAACACATTTATATATAATAAAGGTACGTGTTGTTTTTTAATAATAACAAGTGTGATGTATACAAATATGTTATTTGTTAAAATTAACTGTTGTGTCTTGTATGAGACTTAGTATGTATTGTTAGTTTATATTTTGTATTTGTATTATATTAACATACAATGTGTTGTTTGTAATAATATTGTGTGTTGTTGAGATTATAACATATGTGTTTTATTTATGTGATGTATTTGTACTATATTAATTTATACAGTATTGTTTGTAGTAATATACGTGCTAGTTTAATAGCAGACAATATGATGTTTAAATTGATTAATTTATCTAAGGAAATATATTGAACATTTATGCATACTTTTATTGATTTGAAAGCTCAGAATCAAATGACTACGACCCATTAATATCTCATCATGTGTCGGTTCAAAATTCAAAATTATAACAATTATTGAAATCAATTTATTGAATTAATCAAAACAATTATTTTCCACTAAAAAAATGGATATAATTTCAGGCCACCACAAATAAGTGGTGTGGCTCATCAAATGATCGTGGTGGGCGATCGTATGGACAGGAATTATTGTGTGCTGCAGATGGATTACACGATGTGTGGCTGAGATTGCTCTGATTTGTGGGAGCAGCCTTATTGGGTGGACCCGCATGTACGGAATCCAATACCCCCAACTGTTGACCTATATCTTAATGGGCCCACGTAATCTTTCTTAAACCGAACTATTGGCCTACTAATAGACATTACATTTTGGGCTTATATTCAGCCCATTTTTAAAACCCATTTTGGGCCTATTACTGAAACGTGATGGCCCATAATATTATTTCTGATCCAATTGTGTACTTTAATTGAGAGGTTTCAGAAATTGCACTTAAAATAGGAGGGAGTGTTTTTTTTTTTTTTTAATATCTATATATAAATTGTTTAAATTTTCTAGAGAACATACTTTTACTATACTACTAAACATTAAAAGAAACTCTTAGAATAGAGATAAATTAAATAAAAAAAAATCAATTTTGGTTTCAATATAATACTCCATCTGTCTCAAAAGAGTTTCTTGTTTTTTCATTTTCGTTCGTCCCAAAATAATTGTCTTATTTCCTTATTTAGTAACCGTAGTCCCCACTTTATAACAAAATTATTTTTATTTTTCCAAACTACCCCTAATTATTACTTTAACCTACATTTTAGAATCCTTAAAAAAGCAAGAGCATTTTAATCTTTTACATTCTACTTTATACTCACTTTTAATTAAATACTATTATTCCTTAATTCCCGTATCACCTCCCAACAAGACATCTCTTCTGGGACGGAGGGAGTAAAAAATTATCAATTTCAGTCTCAATATAATAAACTCATCAATTTTAGTTCTATTGTAAATAATTTCAATCAATTTTTGTCCAATTATAAACAATTCGAATCAATTTTAGTCCTACCGTTATAGTAGTATTAAAAATTAATTTATTATTTCAATACAGTAATTGGATATTTGTAAGAGAAATATTTTTTTGATAAATAGTAGAATTTTAGACAAAATCTTTCAAAAGAACATACTCGATAAATATTTATATTTAAACTAAAATTGATACATTTTAATTATTTAATTATTATTGATTTTTTTCATTTTAACTATATCAACTATTATAAATTAAAAAAAATAAATTTAAGAATATAACAAAAAAAAGTAAAATTTTAGACCGAAACAGAAAAGTACACGACCGTGTAACAACATGATAATGTATAATTATATAATGAAATATACATGGTCAAGTAACAAAATGACTGTGCATAATTATACACTGAAATATACATGGCTATGTAACAACATTATCATGTATAATTGTACATGGTCGTGTAACAACATGACCATGTATAATTATACACTGAAATATACATGGTCATGTATAATTATGTATGGCCGTTAGTTTCTATGCCACGTCACTTCCGTTATGTCCACGTCAGCTATTAGAAATTTTGGAAAAAAATAATGAGATTGTCTTATTTTGATTATCAAAATAATGAGCCTATACATAGACAATACAAAACAGACTCGATAAACTTAAATCTAAATAATATAATCTATGGATAAGATCAAATTTAAATAATATAATCTATAGATAAGATCAAATCTAAATATAAATCTACTAAATCTAAAATCAAATATCTAAGATATCTCAACATCCCCCCTCAAACTCAAGTGGTATAACATAAACCAATTTGAGTTTGAACAGGAAGTTGAATATAAACGTAAAAAAAAAAATACAAATAAAAATAATAGTTGACTCTTCATCAGAGCTAGAAACGAGATAACTTTCCACCCCGGAGCAAAAAATGAGATGACTCCACCGAAGCCGAAAATGAGATTACTTCACCGGAGCTAAAAATGAGATGACTCTCCACTGGAGTCGAAAATGAGATGACTCTTCACCGGAGCCGAAAACGAGATGACTCTCCACCGGAGCTGAAAACGAGATGACTCCACCGGAGCCGAAAACCATATGACTCCACCGGAGCCGAAAACGAGATGGCCGAAAACGAAATGACTCCACTGCAGTCGAAAATCACATGACTCAATCGGAGCAAAAAAAAATGACGTGACTCCACCGGAGCTGAAAACGAGATGACTCCACCGGAGCCGAAAACGGCATAACTCCACCGAAGCCGAAAATGACTTGACTCTATCGAAGCCGAAAACGAGATGACTCATCCGGAGCCGAAAACCACATGACTCCACCGGAGTCGAAAACAAGATGACTCTCCACAGGAGCCGAAAATGACAGGACTTCACCGGAGCCGAAAACGAGATGACTCCACTTAAGCCGAAAATGAGATAACTCTCCACCGGAGCCGAAAATAGATAGATCTCAACACTAAACAGATCGCACGCAGGCAACAGACAAACAATATGGCAAATCGTAGACAGATTTCCGGCAACAAACAAACAACGAAAGATGGCAGATCGCACGCAAGAAACAGACAGACAACGACAGATGGCCAATCGCACGCAGGCAACAGACAGGCAGTGGACATATGGTAGATAGCACATAGATCTCAGATAAATTTCATATGCAGATCGCAGACAAATTTCAGATTGCACGCAGGACCAAACAGACAGTAGACAGATTTGCAAAATGACAGACTTGCAAAGGCATGATCTCGAAATTACAAGACCTCCGGGTACAATCTAGGTTGAATGTACCCGGAGAAAAGCGGGTTGATAGACTATATTTACGGTATGAGAAAAATAGACTCTAATACCATGTTAAAATATTTTGCGGAACACACAGGTTCAACTATAGAATCCTTGTTACGAGTTCTCTTTTCTCTAAATGATAAGGCTTACTGGACTTCTCACGTTGATTCGGGTTCGTCGGCGCCCGTGCGTGAATCCTCATTCGCAATATACGGCTGGACGACGGGTCCGTGAATAGCGTACAAGGTCGTCGTTC